GGGCGGGGCGGGCCAGGCCGGCGGGCCGCGGGGGTGGCCCTGCTCCTGACCGCCGCGGTGGCCAGGGCCACGAGCGCCAGCAGCGGACATACCATAATGTAAGCGTCGGGCTGGGGCTCTGTATCGCTGGTTGGGCGCCACGGCCGCGACTATTCAAGGCAATGGACTGACGCGCGGCTAACGAGACAGCGGCCGTCTCACCAAAGTCTCGCCCTCGGGGGGGCCCCGCCAACGCGCCCCCGCCGCTCCACGTCACGCCACCGGCTCAAACGAAGGCCATCGTTCACCGGGGCCGCAGCCCATCCAAATAAATAGCTGGCTAGCGTCACCAAGTGGTCATTTGCGGTCCGAGTGAGGACGTGGCTCACACTGGAACGCCCACAGCGCCCCCGCCCCGCCCCACCGTCCGGAGCGGGCGTGTTCTTGGAGACTAATGCCTGCCATCCGTCAGAAGCCGGCCAGCGCAGGCCGCAGCCCCTCCCTTCCTGGTCCACAACCCCCCAACCCCCTCCCCGGCCCCTCGGAGGGCCCGTATCTCCAGGCCGATGCCCCCTCCCTCAGCCCCTTCCTCCCCACCCCCACCCACCTTCACCTCCCGGCCCCCGGCATTCGATCCTCCCACTGCAAACGCACGGCTCCTGTCTTGCGATTCACATCAGCGCGCCAGTCCCCTTCCCATCACCCCCTTCCCACCCGTGCCACGATACAGACCTGTCCGCACACCGCCCGCTCTGACAGCGACCTGAGCATCGCTGGGATACACTCCGCCAAGATGGAACGAGAGAGAGAGAGAGAGAGAGAGAGAGAGAGAGAGAGAGAGAGAGAGAGAGGGGGGGGCAGGGAATAAGGGAAAACAAGCAAGCATGAGTGTGGAGCGCAGAGAGGACGCGTTGAAGTGTGCGCTTATGTTAGAAAATGTGTGTGAGGAGGTTGGGGACAGCCAGAGAGAGAAAGAGAGAGAGAGAGAAACGAGGAAAGCGTTTAGAGCTTTAAAAAAGGGAGCCAACGTAATGAATCTACGCAGCTCAGCCCCTCGTTTTTTTTTCACCCCTTGAGCTTCCGCAGTCCCGCGGCAGCAGCAGCAGCCTCATAGCAGCCCCGCGCACATTCCGAGCGGCGCACACAATCTCACACACACACACACACACACACACACACACACACACACACACCCACCCACACACACACACACACACCAGCTGCAGCGGAATGGAGCGGGGAACGCCTCCTCTAACGCGCTCCCACCGCGGACTTGCAACGTCAAAACAATTCCGCCTGGCATGCGGAGCCGTGAGCGGCGCTCTCTGAGTATGGTGAGCATGGTGCGGCCACCCCACCCCCACCTTCTGAGCCACGCCCGTAGCAGCGCAGAGCCTCCCGTCGCATACTTTTGCTCTTCTACGGAACGCGCGCGACGGCCAGACGACGGGTGTGGTTTTTCTTGCTTTTGTATAGTTTTGTTTGTGTGTTCGCGTAGAATTCCAGGATGGTGCCCTCGACGGACACGTTTCCCCCCGGCTACCGTTTGCATGGCATCTCTACTTTGCGCGGGGACATCCTGGACGGACAGCGCGCGCGCGGCCCGCAGCAGACAGCCCCCCGGGGAGGCCGCAGCCGACCCGCTCGTTCTGCTCTCTCTGTACAGCAGCATTTTGCACTCGGCATATGGACATCCAGCGAGGCAAGAAGTAAAAATGAGCATGACAGTAACGCCGCGGCCATGGGCCCATAAAGCTGCGCCACGCCGAGCCACGCCGCGCCACGCCACCGCAGGAAGGGGCGGGCCCGGCGGGCCGGGCGGCGGCTCCCCGTACCGTGCGTGGAACACATCAGGGCCTGCAGCGGCGGAATATAATTCGTCGTAATGAATTAACGCCACTGAATTATTCATTCCGGAATGGAGCAAGTCACTGCGATAGCACGACGTCCATCCACCAGCGTTCTTTCCTTCTCGCACGTTGTACCTCCCCTCTCCCTCTCCACTACTCACTCTCTCTCTATCGCCCTCCCCCCCTCATTCGCACACACACAAACTTGCTGTACGCGTCTGTTTCTCTCCTTTCAGAGACACCACTGCACAACACTATTACGCATGCGTGTCAGCTGGCCGTCAGCCGCACTCGCTGGTCGCACTATAACGGTCCAGCACGACGCATCAACATCAACCTGGAATTGCACTCTTGTTAATTACGGTTGATTGACAACCAAGAACACTACGACAGCGGCCCATCATTCTCTAAAACATTCTTTCGTTATAAATTGGGAGTGTTTATAAATCTGCTACACGTAGACACACAGAACTGACGCCCTCACCCCAACACGTACGACGGGCAGGCAATGATGTGAATACGCTTGTGTGACGGGACTGCTTATCCAAAAGCCGCATCGAGCGCCTGACGAAGGAAGAGTAGGCAGCGCGGCGAACACGCTTGTGTGACGGGACTGCTTACCCACAGGCGGCATCGGGCGCCTGACGGAGGACGGGTAGGCAGCGCGGCGAACACGCTTGTGTGACGGGACTGCTTACCCACAGGCGGCATTGGGCGCCTGACGGAGGACGGGTAGGCAGCGCGGCGAACACGCTTGTGTGACGGGACTGCTTACCCACAGGCGGCATTGGGCGCCTGACGGAGGACGGGTAGGCAGCGCGGCGAACACGCTTGTGTGACGGGACTGCTTACCCAACAGGAGCCCACGGACTTAAGCGAATGTTAGCTTAACAGGCATACGAAATGTCCGTCGGAATTTGGTCAGTTGGAAGACCGAGAAGGACACACACTGCACTTACTCTGCAAATGATGGGGCTTTTTTCTGCATCATTTTCATTGACTTTGAAGTTCAGCGTAAAGAAATCGTGACAAGGGCTTTACACAAAAGTAGCCATATCAGAGACTGTAATTCCTTGGGGGCCCCATCGTCCTGTCTTTGTTCCTCTAGCGGACACACACAGAGGAAGCACTCCGGCGCGCGCATTCGCCCGTACGTGTTTCCGGCGCCCTCATTGTTCTGTTTGCTTTCAATTTTCCCGCCATTGCTGCCACTTTGGGGCGCTCACTCACCGCCCGTCCTTCCGTCCGTCCGTCCTCCCCGTGCGCGGCCGGCCGTGCCGTGCCGTTCGCCGTGCGGGCAGGGCCAGTCAGCGTTCAGAAAGCGTTCATTTTCTCTTTTCAAAAGCGAATAGAACGCGCGGGAGGAGGGGGGAGGGGGGGTGGACCGGGCGAGCTCACCGTGGCGTTTATCACTCGTAATGAGTACGGCGGAAGCCGCTCAATGGCGCCATCCACAGCCCCGGGCGCGCCACCCCGCCCCGCCCCGCCCCGCCCCGCCCTGACACACCCACCACGCCACGCCACACCCCGCGACCGCCAATTCAATGACTCCCGTCAACGGATTCAAATAAAAACGCGACGGGGCGCAGTGACAGAGTGAAACAGGCCGGGCTGCGTGCGAGGCGGCTCCTCGTCAGCCCGCGTCAGCCCGCGTCAGCGCGCCGCTGTTCGAGACGCAGCCCCGAGCACTGCTTTGTGTATTTATGCCCCGCGCTGCTGCCGCGGTAGGTATGAGTTATGTCAAAAGTCCGCGCCCGACCGGAGAAATAAATAAAAACGGAAGACCAAAAAATAAAAACTGGTGGCTTGGGAAACTCTTTTTTTTTCCCTATAAATCTGGGCACATCCGAAAAATAATGGTTTGGGGGACTAGGGGACGTTTAAAGACGCAGTGAATAGAAAATTATCCCCCCTCCCTCCCCTCGCGGAAGCTGTAACGTTTGTAATCAAGGGGCAAATGTTATCAGAGTGACAGTTACAACTGATAATATCTTTCGGGCCACGTCACCGGCCCGACACAACGCCAACAAAAATATCCATTTCAGAAAGTTCAGACGAGGGCAAAGCAATTCTCTCCGCCGCAATGAAGTGAGTCGTGCGCAGCGTCGGCGCCTCATCTGCTCGGGTTTTCGCGCCTGCAAAGCGAATGTGTGAGAGTTGGGTGGGGCGCCGAGGATGGGTTGGGGAAAGACCGGCGTGGAGGGGAGTAGCCCAAGAGGGCGGCACGGGGGACGAGAGAGGAAGGGGGGGGGAGGGCAGCCGGCCCATCCCCTCGGCCGCGTGGCGGTGGTGTAGCGTCGGAGAACCGCTGCAAAAACGGCGATTGCGGAAGCGCTGAGGCGCGCCGGGGGGCGGAGCGGGGGTTGGGCGTCTCCACTAGCCAGGCACTTAGGCCCCTAGACCTCCTCCCCCGCTGCAGGGAGCCGGCTGCGCTAGAGGGATAGCTTTTTTGCCACCCCACCCCACCACCACCTCCACCCTGCTCACCCGGGCCGCACCCCGGCCGACCGGGACGCAATCTGCTGAGCGTGAGATCGGCTAAGGTAGCCCCGCAGCACGCCCCGCCCCGCCCCGCCCCGCCCCGCCTCACCCCGCCGCATACAGCAGAATTAGCCCAGAAGGGTGGTAGAAGGGGTGCGGCCGGATGCGGCGCCTAGGGGAGCAAAAAAAAGGGAAGCCAGGGTTTGTTGTGTGTGAGAGAGAGTGTGTGGGGTGCAATTGTTCGTTCGTTTTTTGTGGCTTTTTTCATTTACATAGAACGCCGAGTTCAAAAAGGTGAGGGTGAGGCGCGCGGCGCTTGTTCGGGTGTGGCGCGGGGCAGGGCGTTCTGAGAGGGCAAGGACGAGTGATGTGCACGGGCAGGACCCTTGCGGACCCGAGGCCAAGGAGTGGGGCGTCCGGGGAGGAGGTTCGAGGGAAAGCCGAGCTTGGGCCTGACTTTAATTACAAGCGCTTTGGAGGCTTGCACTGGCCCGCCCCGCCGCCGGGAGGCACTAGGCACGGACGAGCGGCGCGTGGCGGAATCCGAAACCCCTCTCCCCTTTGCCGCGACGAGCCGAGCCCTGGGGACCTCCTCTTGATATGCCTCATATTCCCCGACGAGGGTGAGGACCGCCCGGCCCGCCCGGCCGCCCGGGTGCGACGTGTCGCTGAGTAACTAGCTCGACTCACCTGTCCTCGATGAGGTACTTGTCCTTCTCGTTCTGCACGCAGCCGCCCTTGGTCTCAAAGTCGCTGCCCGAGATGGAGATGAGCTTGGGCACGCCCGACTGGAACCAGCGGCCGTGCCACTGCGGCGGGAAGGAGCACTCCGCTGCAAACAAGAAAGACACTCGGTCAGAACAAGCACATCAAGCGTCCAATTTTGTGACATACAGCACCGTCCGTCAAATAGAAATTATTTGCCACTTGTTTTTTTGCTGTCATGGAACTAAGTTATGGTGATACGGGTCCGTGCAAGGCTCATAAATACATGACATTATTTTCACATCAGACGAGGCACTTACTTCCTCCTGCAACTTTGGCAGAAGGGGCTGGCTGGGGCGAGTGCGGAGTTCTAGCCGCGCGTCGCTCAGCGTGGCGCTGTTCGGAACGGTTTATGTGACCGACGGGGGCTATCAGGCAAAGTGGGGCCACCAATCCAATCCACTGCATTTCAATTCCCCGTAAGTGGTGCATTTAACCGACCTCTTCTGCCCGGAGTGAACTGGATCGGTGATAGCCATCAGCTGATACGACGCGTAGGGGCCGAAACGGCAAGACAACTAAAAAGGAGGGTAAAATGCACACGGAGCACAACTTGATAATCGGGCCGAAAGAGAAGGAAGAATATCGTGCAAACAGCTGAGTTTTAATGCGGGGTCCTGCTTAAATCTCCGCATCGCACAGCGACCAGATAAAATTCCGCACCTGTCGCCCTAAGTTTGGCCGAGTTGGGAGCGGGCAAAGTCCATACCACCCGGGGGCTGTTTAGGAGCCGAGTACCCGGTGTAAGAGGAGGTAGTTAGGAAGGGGCAGCATCGGAGAAGGAGAGACGACCAGACTACCAACTTCACTGTACACGAAAACAAAAAAAGTTCGCTGACGTCATCTGCTCCTGAAATTCTCAAAATCTACCGCAGCACCGCCGCACACAAAAAATCAGGGTTATGTTGCGCTGTACTCACGCACTCAACACGAGAAACAGGGTACAAGTGGCGCCGAAGTTGGTTCCAAACTCCACTCTGATTTCCTACAGTATGATGCGAGCCCAGCCTGCTGCTGCGCTGCCTCTCGTCGGCGTCAAACAATTCTGAGAAACAGTTTGTGTTGCAATGCGCAACGCAACGCAACGCAACGCAACGCAACGCAACGCAAGATCACAGAGAGAATCCTCTGAAATTCTTCGTCTCCGTGGAATGTCGAAACGGGTCGGTAGGCC